CAGGGGTCTGATATCCGTTGGGTCTATTAATGAGGCTTAGGCGAGGCCTAGACTGAAATCCAGCTGGAATGCAAATACATTTTGAGGAGCGAGGGTGAATTGAACTTATTGGAAAAGCTACGTTTCCTCACATAAATCTAGGAAAATTAAGCCGCCAGTCCTTTTCCGACTTGAGGTGACAAACTTTTATTAAAGATCTAATTACTACTATTATTCAATTGGCTACTGTGCTTAATTGCTACAGTCAGGTGGATTCGCAGACTCAGCCATTCTATTGATATTTCAACTCGCTATGCGTCTTTTAAGCTAGTCAAATTAGGGCATATAAGTTGTTTGACCTTGTTTTCGCAAATTGGTTATATTGGCAGAAATACCTAGAAAAACGCAAATCATTCCGAGTCCGTAGTATGCATGATTATTTTCAGTGTTAGACCGTGGTGGTACATTCCCGAACGTTTTGCCTACATCGTCAGCGAGCTTTGTCAGTCCTCGCACAACGCTACAACTTGTCAAAGGGGCAAGTGAAGCCGATCCTTAGACCAATAGTCTGCTAAACAATAATGGTATCTCTCCTGCTCTAGGCTATTCACCAATCATATATCCTCGTATCACCTCTTCACTATCACAATTTCTCAATTGTTTATTTAAATGTAGTATAATGTGCTCTTTTGGTCGGATTTCATGAGAACTCTACACGCCACGCTGGCTTTTTCACTTTACTCCAACTCGTCCTTGTATTTGGAATGTTGAGCAGATTCTGACATACTATTACGCAATCCTCTTACCATAGGGAATGTACCACGTCCACTGTCCGACTCAGGAAATGAATATGCGTACAATGGACTGTGGATTAGGCGAGTTATCTTTGAAAACGACTCCAACAGCCTCCTGGCGCTTTTGTGCTCAGCTACCATTTGCCTCTCCAGCATAAACGCGATCAATGAACACATTGTTTTATAGAAACCTGACCTGGATACTGGATCAAATTTCTCTCATAAAATGGACATAACTGAAAAAGTGAAATAATCTGCATGAAAATCTCTTCCTTACTAGTTCACTTTTCTTCTTAGAGCCAACGTGCCAAGGCAAAGACAAAACACGGGCTGAAGTCCCCGACTTTTATCTCTCCTTACGTATTCCACATTCCAAAAAGACATTCTTTATCAATCACATGTTATTTTCAATCAAACTAAGGGGGTAATCATTATCAAGTAAGATTAGCTTTATCCATTCCAGTTCATTGTCAAAATGGTCTCTATAGGCTAGTCTTATGATCTGTAAAATTTAGGATTTTAAAGCGCCAACCTTTGTTTTGCAACATTAGTTGAAAAATAAATTAAGTATTAGGCCTTCTATATGCATCCCTGCTAAACTTTTCGCTCAATCTGATCGCTAAAACATTCAAAAATGACAAATTATTAACCCTCTATCTCCATTGCCAGCTTAACATGACAGTCAATCTGGTTAATTAAGAGCATAAAAATATCCAAACTATCCTTAAAATGTTGT